GATGGGGGCCGGGGCTCTGGCTCTTCTCAGTTTGCGGAGGAAGTAGAGACGCTGCTGTGTTTTCTTGGCCAGTGCTGCGGTGTTGTAAGTCCAGGAGAGGTCCTCTGTGATGATGAAGATCCCTGAAGTTGCAAAGACTAAAGTCTCAAAACCAAAGAGATATTCTTTATCAAAGCTAAGACTCTGCCACGCCCCCCTAAAATGGCTCGTTCTAACACGCCCCCACATATCTACCTCACTATGTGGTATATTTGCATAATGCGGCCCAAATGTGCACGCATGTGTGTGTGTGAGAGAGAGAGAGACAGGGTCACATCACAGTGGAGGCAGCTGTCTTAACCGTGGCTTGTATACTGCACACATACCAGCTTCATCACTGGTACTCCGACTCTGTTCCCCTTTCGGGCTCTGTCTTTACATTTATTTTGAAAGATGAAGCTCGCGATTATGGTAAGGGGCGTTACATTTCCGACGAGTGCTTGCGGTGTTCGGCCAATCACAATGCACTGGGTCAGCTGGCCAATCAGGATCTTCTTTATGCACCAAGAGCTTGTAACACTCCAAAGAGAAAGGAAAAATTGAAAAAGCATCATATGACCCCTTTAAAAATAGAAGTTCTTTATAGAATCCATGAAATCTTTCCATTGCACAAAGGTTTTTTCATAATGAAAAAGGGTTCTTCACACTAAGAGAAATTGTTCTTTTAAGGGGAACCAAAAATGTTTGGTTCAAAACCAAAAAGCCACCTTAATTTTTAAAAGTAGAAGTTATACTTTATAGTATACTACATAATGGTATTATACAAGACTCTAACATAAAGATACCTAAAATAACTTTATTACAAATATTTTAACATGCCGTTACAAACTAAGCTGGGTTATCTACACTGTGGCAAAATTCACTTCTGCACTGCACTGAGCTGGTGTGAGAGAGTTAATACACAATTGCTTAATAACAAATTACATTCATCAACCACAATGTAATGAAAAAAATTCTCACATTCAATTCTAAACGAAATCATTAAATCACTGTTCCCTGATTCAGGTGATATATGTTCATCAGAATCATGTTTTGTAATAATAGAGAACAACTGCTTTAAACTTATGTACTTAAAATTGTGTTTGCCCCCTAGTGGCTGGAAGTGAACATGGACCTCTAGACACACTCTGAATGGACAGACTGCAATTGGAGGGCTTTCAGTTTCCATTGATATCTCACTTAATTTCAAAAATATCCAACAGATGGCTCAAAATGTGCCAGAGGTCAAATATCAAAATTACATGCATGTGTGAAACACAACACAGACCACAAGCTGGAGGAAACAACAACTGTGCTTCTATGCAGCTGATCTTATTTAAGTGATGTTATCAGAGGCAAACATGCTTAATCAGGGAATGATGAAGATGTCATGCTGAGATACTCATCTAAATCATCCACAGCATGTTTCTGTATATATGTACATTTTGAAACTTTTCATCATCTTTTTACATTGTTGTATATGTGCAAACATTTAAGAGTATTTAAATCTGCTTTTTATGTTTCCATAGTGTTGAAGAGTCAAGGAGAAGAGAAACTACATAAGTATTATAAATGCATCTGCTTTATGAGGAAATGTAAGAGGAAAAGATGTGTGTTCCTTAGACGATTAAACAGCCTTCCTCAAAAGAGTAGTTGAGTTGGCAACTAGAAAACGTATGATTCCCAACTGCATTGATAAACATCTGCTGTGATTTGTTGAGTGCTGTCTTTTTACAGTAACTATACCCAAACATATCAATGCTCATATTTAGCCTTTATGTTGTACAAGTGCTACTAAAATCATTAAAATGGCAGGTAAGCCTAGATTCTGATATAATACGTAAATATAGTTCTGTTTAGTGATTGCTTAATTGCTTGTTAAGTTCAACACCCTAGTTTCAGTATATGACACAGTCTTAGAATACTGCATAATAAAGAATAAGTATTTCATTCAAAATACTCTCATGAATGCTGGTCCTGGAAGGTTAAAAACTATGTAATGTAGTGTTGCCACCTACTGGAAAATATGCCATGTTGGTCTAATGGTCTAATAGCTTCATCTAGTGAAAGAGAATAGTATTACACGCTGCATATTTAAAGGGATAGTTCACCCAAATATTAAAGTTCTCTCATCATTTACTCACCCTCATGTTACAAACCTGAGTTTCTTTTCCTCTGCAGAACAAACAAAAATAAATACATTTTGAGAAATATTGTTTGGGCCTCAATGTTCTTTAAAATATGTTTTGTTTCACAAAAGAAAGGTTTGGAATGGCATGAGGGTGGAGTAAATGATGATAGAAGTTTCATTTTTGGGTCAACTATCCATTTAACACAAAATATTTTCAAATAAAGGTACTTTTATTACAAAATAATGATATACATTAAAAAAAACACTTTCTGCTTTTCCTCTTCTATTCTGCAGTTTCACTTACTCTTCAAATGTTTTGTGGCACTGTTAATATTGTTGGCTCCTTTAAGATAAATTACTTCTGTTTTTCCTCATTTCCAAGACTGGTTAGTCTGGTAAACAAATAAATGTCAAATGTAATGTTCTTGCTTTTGACTTTCCACTTAATCTGTATCTTTTGTTGCCTGCTAAAGTATACTTATCCGATGGTTTGACTGTTCCTCAGAATCTGCCACGAAAGCACTTTTTCATTTTCATTTCCATGACTAAAATCACACATGCAGCAGTCATTCAGTTTATGGATACAGCGTTTGTCATTCTGTCTTTTTGAAGAGGGAGTTACTCTACATTCTTAACAGTAAATCTTAGTCATCGCATCAGTGTGATATATAGAACTTCCTTTTTTTTATTCTCATCGCATCTCTGAGAATCAGACACCAAACCCTCTCGCTTAGTTTCTCAAACCGATTGACTTCACTGGATGCTGCTGAAACCAAAGATTGCAACATATGTTAGATTTGGAAATGTCTTCATGCCATGAAAAGCACAGAGGGATTCAAAAGTCTGGGAGCATTCAATAACTATAATATATATATTATTCACACACACATACACATATAAAACTTTTCTGGCATTTTTTAGTTCAACTTCAATGCCGACTTCTAAATGCCCATTGCATGTATTTGTCATGTTTTTTCCTGAGTGTGTGTATGTGTGTTTTTTCCTGTGTCACTCTGTAATCTACAGGTAAGTAACATGATCCCACCAGCCTAAAAAAAAACCTACTAGACATGGGAATCTTCATCATATCAGGTGTGTTTCCATGAAGGAAAAGAGAAAATCACAATAAAAAATATTAAAAATTACATCCTTGAAATCAGAGTGTGGCGCCGCAGGTTCCTGGAGGAAATTCCATCATATATGCAAATCTGATCTGAACAAGTCCCCCGGATAAAAATGGGAAACCCAGAACATCTCATTCATACTGTGATGATGCCATTCAATTGCTCTGATACCAGCAGGCAGCAGGAAGAGGATCAACCAAAACTTTCCATATAGTGTTACGTGAGCACCTTTCAGTGCTATTGAAATGACACGATTTGTTATTTTTTCACCTTGAGCCTTATAAACAAAATCCCCTGATATTATTTACTGTAACAAGATGCTTCATCTAAGTCAAAAACATATGTAGCATTACATTAATGCATAAGCCACGCAGATCATGTGAAATAGATCTAGTTATTGAACGTTAAATGAATTAAAATGTCATAAACAGATTTCAGTCTGTGAGCCTTATAGACTGATATGATGTTTTATAGAGATTTCTTTGGTCATTTTGAAGTCCTCATTCACTTTCATTACATGAAAAGGAAGGAAGAAAAACATTCATACTCGACATATGAGATGTGAGTCAATGATGACAGGTTTTTCATTTCTATTCAAGAGCAGGATGTTGAAGTGTTTTCAGATGTTTTATCTGAGGAGAAGTGTTGGAAAATGATACTGAATTCCTCCAAATCCCTCTCCGGTCTTTGCTTGTGAAAATGAAACTGTTGAACGTCATGTGAAACACCCAAAGGAATAAAACTGGGAAGTCTGTCTGTCTGTCTGTCTGTCTGTCTGTCTATCT